TGGCCTCCATTCTATCGATTTCACCCTGCTTGTGTGGATTCCATACGGGCATGCGTAGTCAAGTATAGGACGAATCAGGGTTTTATACATTAGTAATTTAGTGCTTTTGGGGGATTGGGACAGTGTTCGTCTTAAATAACCTAACTTTTTTAAGGATTTTGAGCAGATAAGGTTGATATGCTGAGACCAAGATAAATTGCTAGAAAGAACAACACCAAGATATTTGTATTCTGTTACTTTTTTTAAGGTGGATCCGTTAAACGAGTACGTAAAGCAGGAAGGGGACTTACTATTCGTGAAACACATAAGCACAGATTTGTTAAAATTTATACTCATTTGCCAGGTTGCACACCATTCACAAAATATAGTAAATGAGTCATTTAGACGATAATGGGCTTCAGGAGAGTCGATGGGTTCATACAAAACTCAATCATCCGCGTACAGACGAATTTTACAGGTGACGTTATTAGGTAAATCGTTTATGTACAATAGAAACAGTAACGGGCCAAGTACAGAGCCTTGTGGAACGCCTGAATTAACACTAACAATGTCGGAGTCAGTTGAATTATAACAAACGTATTGCGAGCGCTCAGCTAGAAAATTAGAAATCCATCCAATTAGAAATTAACCTGAGAAAATTCAAAATTACCTTCCTAAGTCCAAATATGTCTCCCCGAAAAAATTTCTTGCGAAAAAAAAAACATTCCAATACCGCAAGCCTCATTTGAAACACGTTGCTAAAAAATACGTTCTTTTAATACTAGGTCAAGACAAGTTTTTACCTTTAGAACAATGGTTGGCGTTTTACAAAAGTTTTACGAGCTTTTACGCTTTCGTGGATTTTTTGTCGACTTCAAATATTGAAAATTTCGTCCGTATTTGTGGATATTTATAGAAAAAAATAGGAGAAATTGGACAGTTGACATTAACACGTCAACAAAATAGTTCAATAAAGATCAAAAATAGTTTCAAGTGCATACAGTGCGAAACAAATTTTACAGGTGGTGACAAAGTAGCAAAAATGTTCATTTTGGCACATCTTCGGCCGTTAATTCAGCCATGACGCAGTTCTACTAAAAATATGAGCGATAGCAGATTTAGTAGCAACCTTCATTGGCTACTCACTCAGAAAGCTTTATGAAGTTAGTTTTTGTTTTAAGCGAGAAAAATATTTTTGAATTTTCATGCTACCACTCTCGGGATTTGGACGTGTTTATAGCCATAAAAATGCATCCTAGCAGTAAGTACAAACTACACGGACGTGGGTATTATCTGGACAACGTAATTAGCTTTGTCCCTGTCCTATTTAAATTATTTACAAGGTGTTACTGCCACTAGTTAACGAGAACCGCGGGACCTCCGAGACAGGATTTAGCCACGTGTTGCAGTCCGCTGGCAGCCTGCGTACAGTATATATACGCAGCACCGGGAGGTTATACCAATGTGTGCAACACACCACTACCTATAAGCAAACATTTAGAAGTAGAAAGATCACGATAAAGCAAAAGAGAAATTGAAATGAAAAACAAAACAAAAAAGGAAGCGCCAGGCTTGCGCAGAATGCGCAGCACAGTCTCAGCGTAAGGTAGAAGAGCGACCTTTCAGAGCCTCATCTAAACACTCTTTGGGATTTCAGTTGTCATTTAAACTTTTCATCAGTTTTTTTTTAATGGTCATGGATTGCGAAACGTTGAAAATGCGTCACCATAGCCGGACGGGCTTTAAATTAAAACATTATCAGCACCTTCGCGTCTTTACAAAGAAGGGAGATAAAGATGTTGAAATTCTTCCAGAAATGGTGAAGTTTCATTTATGGTCACAATATCGAAGCATCTCTAACGTGTCTAGGATACAGCATGCAGCTATCGCAGGTTACTAAGATACTCTCTGATGACTCTTGTCTCCAAATCCTCGCAATCTGGGGCCCTGAAAACCTCTTGTAAGCACACGGTGAATAGCATTGAAGAGATCCTGTCTCTCTGCCTTACACCCTTCTGTATTGTGATTATGTCACTTTCTTGGTGAAAGATTATGGTGGCTGTGGATTCGCTGAACATTTATTCTATTATGTTCATGTATAGGGTTCGTCGATGCCCTGATTCCGTAGTGCCAGCATCACTGCTCATGTCTCGACTGAGTCAAACGCTATTTTTCTAATCTGTGAAGGCTATGTATAGGGGTTGGTTGTATTGTGCGAATTTCTTTATCACCTGACTGATAGTAGGAACATGGTCCATTGTGGAGTAGCCTGTACGGAATCCTGCTTGCTCTTTTGGTTGACTAATTCTAATGTCGCCCTAAACCTTTTAGCTATTACTTTTGTGAATTGCTCGTACAGAACGGACAGTAAGTTGATCGGCCGGTAATTTTTCAAGTCCTTGATGTCTCCTTTCTTGTGGATTAAGATGATGCTGGGGTTCTTCTAAGATTTTAGTACCCTTCCTGTGAAGAAACACTTCGTACATAAGACGGTCAGTTTTTCTAACACAATTTCTCCGCCAAATTTCAGCAGGTCCGTTGTTACGTTATATCTTCCCAACGGTTTTGTCGGTTTGCATTCCTTCTCCTGTCGTTACTGGTAGGATGTCAAATTACTCTGGGCTATTATTGCTTCTTACGGTATCACCCTGCTTGTTTTGGCTTCTATACAGCTCTCTGTAGAACTCATCCACCACCTCGATTATCCTTTCCATACTGGTAGTGACTTTGAGTTCCTTGTCCTTTAATGCATGCATCCGATTTTTGCCTATATGAAGAAGCTTGCCTTCGCAGCTTTCAGGCTCTTTGCGCTTTCTTCCACATGTTTGATTCTCTCCGTGTTATACCGGTCCATTATGCCTATTGATTAACTTCGAAATCTCTGCTAGCTCTATTTTGTCTGCTGCATCTGGCCTCACTTTTTGTTTACCATTCTACGTCATTGAGCTCACCGCAGATGCAATTACTAGTACGTGGATCTGGATCAAGAATAGTCAGCACTGCTTACTGCTATGTTAGTTTGCCGGAGTTTCAATGTCTAATAAAAACACCAACGAAGTACTATGCAGCCTCAAGGCAGCACCAGTCTTTTCTTTACCAGTTAGAATACTTTTCGCGTTTAATTTTTCATGCACTAAAAACGTCCGCGACATGTACACTCAACGTAAAAATCGCATAGAAGAAGCCGATTAGTTCGCAAAACACAAGCACGCAAGTGGACAGGAAACGTCAATGTAGGACTGCTACCCTTCGAAATAAGCAAAACTTGACATTAGGCGCTTTTTGAATTCAACAATATCAAAATTGAGCAAGACACAAAGAAGTTACGGCAGAATAAAATCTTGAGTGGGAGAGTCGAAAGTTCTAAGCCTCACCTTCTTCTGTTTTTTTTCCTCGAAATATTGAGTTTGCTACGATGAGAGAAAATCAGATGAGCTATGACTAATGTGAAGTTGAGGACTGATAAGCAGTTATGTAGTATTCTGCCGCTCTAAGAAAGTGCAATAGAACCAATACTACTAAGGAATAGCGCACCAGCCTAGCAGGCAAAAGGTCCACTGCTCAAATGCCGCTGCCGGGCAATTCCCAACCATATATTCAAATATAACGTGAGACGAGGGAACCATAAAAAAAATGTCTGGGGTGTGGCCTCAGTGGCCACCACCTGCCTTCAATGCACTCCCTCACCAGAGCAGGATTGGCCATCCTGGTAGTACTTCGCCACCCCCTCCCATGACATTACCAATTAGCCCTCAGGCACTCAGTCTTTAACGGCTGCGAACCAACTGTCCAAGGCGGCGGTTAGAACTGCGACGCAGCGGAGGATGCTAAGAATCTTTGGGTCCGCACAGGTCGCCATTAAAATATGGTTACGTTTAACGCTAGAACGCTATCTAGTGAGGCTGGTCTAGCTGTTATATCTAAGAAATTAGAGGGTGTTAAATTGGATGTAATAGGGCTCAGTTAGGAGGACACATGAAGGTTATATAGTGCTGAAGAACGGACACGTCCTATGCTATCGTGCATTAGTTGAAATAAGATAACTAGGGGTGAGGCTCCTTATCTATACAAGAATATCGCTATAAACATAGAGGAATACTATAGCATCAGTAAGAGGGTGGCAAATATCGTAATTAAGTTTAACAAAAGGTACAGGATGAAAGTGATACAGGCCTATGCGCCTACATCGAGTCATGATAATCATTTAGTGATATCCTTTTACGAAGACGTATTGTCAGCAATATTGGTGGGCGACTTTAATGCCAAAATAAGCAAGAAACAGGCCGGAGACCACGCAAGGGGAAGCATGACATTGGCTCTAGGAATGCCAGAGGGGAGTTATTAGTTGAGTTCGCAGAATGTAATAATTTACGGACCCTGAGTACCTTCTACAGAAAACGAGCTAACCAAAATGGAAAAGGCGGAATCCGAATGGCGAAACTAAAAATGGAATACACTTTATTCTGCGTGCATGCTCGGGCATTGTACAGGATGTAGATGTAGTTGGAAAGATCCGATGCAGCGACCACAGAATGGTAAGAGCTTGAATTCAACTAGACCTAAAAAAGTATACAGACATAAACTGATACACAATTAGCAAGTCAATTAATGAGCGAACGTTGAGATGGAAAATACAGGAATTCAGAGTTTCACTTTGCAATAAATTCGCGGCTCTAAACGAGGTAACTGACGTTAGCATTGACACAATGAACAATAATCTGACTAGTATAATAAAAGATTGCGCAATGGAACTCGGAAGTGCAGTCACAAGACAAAAAAAACTCGAAAGGCCACGGAAACCAACTTATATGCGAGGTCATGGGGTCCTTGTCGAGTTAAAAACGCAGTGTTTGTGAAGACTATTACATTACACATGCACCCTGCATCCAAGCCTAACAAAAACTCGTATACTGTTTGTTTCAAATAGTTCACTTTACAAAATTCTTAAATTCACCGATTAGCTAAGTGACAATCAGCTACACGGCAACCTCTTCTTATTTATTATTTTCTAGAGTACCACCATGCCCCGCTACCGAATGAAGAGAACACAAGTGATCATCATCGTTGCCGTGACAACGCTGTTCATCGCCTGCGCATCCCTGCTCACATTCCTCGTGTGGGCCTTTACTCGACCCACGATACAGTTCTGCAATACGCCCGATTGTCTAAGGCACATTCTCGAGCTCCAGAAGGCAATGAACACCAGCGTTAATCCGTGCGAGGACTTTTACAAATTCACGTGCGGCTCCTGGAAGCCAAATAACAATGAAAAGTCCATGGTGGCGCGAATCTTCGAGCAGTCGACCACAGATGCCATCGAAGAGATGGAGGAGGGTTCCAGAGAGAAGGCAGTGGTGCCCAAGGCCCCGGACTACTACAGAAGCTGCATTCATCGACGCGAAATGACAGCCCGCCGAGGTCGGAGTGTTCATCGACTTCAAGCATCAGCTCGGTTTATTCTGGCCGGAGAAGCCGCAAGTGGCCATAGACGCTCTGCTGCCGTTGCTGAATATGACTATAACGTGGAACATCAACCTCCTCTTCCACCTCAGGGCGCTTCCTGCCTACAAACAAAGGCCGCAGACACTGTATATCAGGCGAGGTATATTGAACACAAACTGGCTGGACCCCAAGTGGACACCTCTAACGTTTGCCGATTCTGTCAGAATTCATTGCCGCGTACTTGGGGTCGAGGCACCATCCTCCTCGAGCATCCAAGAACTCAAGAACACAGTGGAGGACATTATAAACGCCGCCCTCAAGGTACCACCGGACGCCACGAGCGACACGCAGTTCACGCTCAAGGAGATCGCGTTTCTGATGCCTAATCGCGCGAACGACTGGCTCAAGCACCTGAACATTCTGCACAGACCCCAGTTCAGGTGGACACTCGACAGCCCCGTGGCACTGGAAGACGACGCAATACTGCAGAACCTCAACGCGCTGCAGCAGAAGTACAAGAACAAGAAGGAGACGCTCCTGGAAGGCTTCGCATTCGTATTCGTACGGACGACCCTATGGCTGTTCGCGGGGAAACCTGAAATGCGCTACGGGACCGACCCCGAGGCGAACCGCAACTTCTGGAAGCGGGCTTGCCTATCATACACGACGGCGAACTTCGGTCTTCTCGTTGCAGTCCAGCACATCTACTCACGCTACACTCCTAGCGTGCGCGCCGATCTTAAACGTTTCCATCACACAATACAGGAGGCACTGAAGCAGCAGATCCAAGACGCCGCATGGATCGATGAAATCGTCAAGAATAGGGCGACGGTCAAAATAGACGAGCTTTCACTCAACGCGATGCCGGATGAGAGCTTCTTTACTGACACCGATCTGGCTCGACTGTACCGCGACTTCCCCACTATCGGTTCGTCGTTCCTGAGCAACTACATCGCCGTGGCCGCCGCCTACCGCCTCCTCATCGGCCACGACAGCTTCATCAGCGTCTACTCTAAACAGCTCGGTGGAGGCGCGCCCAGCCGATATAATTACTATTACAACATCGCTTACATGTCATTGGGCGCCATGGAGCCTCCTATTCTCTACCTGGACGGTACCATGGCCATGACGTACGGCACCTTCGGCACCCTTATCGCCGAATGCTTGGTCCGCTCTTTCGACAAGCGAGGCGTCCTCGTCAACGACTTGGGAAGGAGAGAGCACTGGTGGGACTCGCCAGCCTACACGGAGCGTGTTAGCTGCGATTTCTTATCAGAGCCGAAGACTGGTGGCTCTGACAATGGCGTCCGCAGTACACCACCACCCGGCAGCCGCGATCCTCGAGAAGTGCGCTTCGCGGCCCTGTTCCCATTAGCGCCAGCGCTGACGACGTCGTTCATCGCGCACCGCAAGGCTATCGCCACGGACGGATACGTCCAACGGCGCCTGCACGGTCTGGACGACTTCGATGACGACCAGATCTTCTTCCTGAGCTACTGCTTGTCGACTTGCGCCGTCAACAGCAACGGCGAGACTTGTAATGTGCCGCTGCGACAAATGGAACAGTTCGCCACCGCATTCCTATGCGAACTCGACACTCCGATGAACCCGCAGAAAAAGTGCACGTTTTTCGGATAACTGCGAGACCAATTGTTTGTTTCAGTTAAAATTGCTTATATTCGCAGCTTTTGTTCCATTTCTTTCTCGTGGTGCAGCTTAGGTTTTGTTCCACGATGAGTTTTAAGCATGCAAGTCTTGCCGCTGCGCCACTAAAGACAGTGGCTAAGGCAGTGCGAAGCAATATGTTGCCTTTAGCAACACATGTTACCAATAACTTTGGCCATTTGTCTTCAAGATTTCCTAGAATGTCGCAGAGTGCGTAGGTTTTTTTTTTTCACTGCCCGATAATGTGAGTGCCGTACAGGCGCGGCTCTTGAGCATAAGCTGGGCCATGACTGGCAATTACATTTCGTGCTTTTACAACCACACGCTTGTTGCATGGTCAGCATCTGTGACTATATCCTTACATACTATCGGCGGCCTGCACATTTCATATTTTTTAGCAAAGACTGAATAAAACGCACGCGGAAGAAATAAGTGACTATATATGGTAATGATACGATGTTACACAATTAGCTGCTTCTCCGATGTTTTTCATGTGTTTTAAGCAGCGACCACAAGGTGTTAACATTTTTTAAATACAATTTTCAGTGATCATACTCAGAAAAAATTTGCAGACTCCACGTGCATTCAGAATCGGTGATATGCGAAGCACGAATGGAGATGTTGATATGTCACTTTAAAATCAGCACAGCGTTACGAGGTGGAGGTAAATCATGCCGTACATGTCTTCCGTGTCATGATTATCATTTGGATGTGTTGTTTACTTTCGTCATCTATTCACGTCACATGATACCAAATTTAGTATATGTGGAGCTAGCGAATCGGCCGCGAGCAGCTATAAGCGTGGTATGTTGTCATGTTCTTACATGACACGCATTTCAGGATTATCATGTTTACACCAGTCATATATTTCGTCGTCCATGGACAGTCCCGTAGCACCAAATTGGGTATAAGTGCAGCTTGCAAAACAGCCGCGAGCACTTCATGAAGGGCCCAATATACTCCAATGTAGCGGTCACGCGCGCGCACACTGGCACAGCGACGCTACGTTAGCAAAACGCGATAACTCTTCAGTCTGACGCCAGGCGCAACCGGCGTCCGTTGGCGCGGCTCGACGGCAACCGGCGCGAAATGCGACATGCTGCATTTCGAGCCGATGCGTTACCTAAACAACACTGCGTCTCCCTTTTTTCGTGATGGAGGGATGCCGGACGCCCTGAAACGCGCATGCGCCGAAGCAACGCAGTGCGGCGCAGAGTGCTGCGAGTATATGGCAGGACCGGCGCCTGGCGTGGCAACACCGGCGTGATGCGACGAAATGAACGCCGGCGAGCACGCGCACCGCGTCACGTTGAAATCTGTTGGCGCCTTGACTGTGGCATGTAGTCATGTTCTCACTTGGCACGCATCTCATGATTATCCAATTTGTACCAGTCACACACCTTCCTCATCCATTCGCGTACTGTAATAGCAAAATTGGTGGATGTGACGCTAGCGAAACGGCCGAGAGCGCATCGTGAGCGTGGCATGTAGCCCTGTTGTTACACGAAAAGGATGCAATGACTTTCATGTTAGGGTCTGTCGCTTGTGTTCGCCATCCAATCATGCCATACCATACAAAATTTGCAACATGCCATGTGAACGAAACTACCATAAGAGCTGCATTTATTACGATGAAATGTAAATCATGACATTCATGACATACATCTCATGGTTTTCATCTTATGACTTGTCAAATATGTTATGCCATACGAAGTTTGGTATTGATACCATTATCGAAACGGCCAGAAGAGCTAAAAGTCGTAGGCGGCTAGATAGATAGATAGATAGATAGATAGATAGATAGATAGATAGATAGATAGATAGATAGATAGATAGATAGATAGATAGATAGATAGATAGATAGATAGATAGATAGATAGATAGATAGATAGATAGATAGATAGATAGATAGATAGATTTGTGGCGGGTGACTGCTACACACACCCATTGGGCGGGGGAACGCGCCGTTGTAATACAAGAGGAGCCCGGGTGTTTGCTTTGGTCACTAGTGATTTTCCACCTATGGGGACATGTCCCTTGGGTCACTTACGGTGCGCCTGTTTTGGGCCGTGTGATCAGGGCTTTGTTGAAGTCGTCTTGGCAGGCGCTGATGCTGGAGGGAGTGGGGTCCCTTTGTAATCCAAGCCACTGGGAGGCAGTGCTTGGCGACGGGTGAAATGTCCCGCATTCGCTGGAGGCCGTTGCGCCCCTCTGTAGTCCATCGTGTATTAAGGCGGCGGGCTTTCGATTCAACGTCAGCACACTTGCGTCTGTCGCTACGATTAATCAAGGAACTGGTGCGCATTGGTTCTTTGCAGGACAGCGTGGTGCGGGAGGTCCACACACTCACAGGTGTATGCGTGCGGGAGGGGGCGTTCTCGCATTTTCCAAACCGGTTTCAAGGAAGCGCTGCCTGTGTACCAACCTCGCCCCCCCCCCCCTCCTCGTGGGCGCCACGGGCAACATTGCTTTGCAGTGGCTAAGTGGGCGAGAAGTAAAACCGAGCCTTCAGGCTTGGGAGTAGCACCATACTTGGGTGCTCTGCTGGACCGGGACAGCACCATCCACTTATGGGAGGTCCTTCTTGCGAGGGCCGGTGGCCAACTCAGCCACTTTAAAGATGTGAGGAGAGCTTGCTGTCCCTTTGGGATTTGCAACCTCGCGGATACTTGCGGGCAACCGGGAAGAGATGTCCATGCGCGGGTGGACATTTGCGGGTTGTGCGTCCCCGCCCTCTTGAGCACATGCTATGTACGCCAGGGACGGCGTACACGGAAGGGACCCTACTTCAATGGGGAGCCGACGAAGACCCAACGTAAATGGGTGCAGGAGAGAGCCTTGTACGGATCTCGTCTGGGAAGGCACCCGGCCCTGGTTTATCCGTGTAAAACCGGGGAGATACTTTATGGTGGGCTGAGACTTCTTGTGGCGCAGAATGGACGCCGGTCATGAACCGAATAAACCTGACCACTCGGATAACCCTGGGAACAAGGAGGCGCACCGCGTAGCCCGAACTCTAACAAATCGGGAGGCGCGTCTCGCGGACCCATTCTGTCCTGGTGAGTCACCGACTTCCTTTAACGACATCAGAAACTTTTACAAAAGTAATCGGCGCGTCCCTTTGTTAGCCGATGAAGACCTCACGAGAGCGTGGGCCACGATACTCCACCGCATTCAAACTTGCTCTTTTTCTTAGTTCTTACCGGCTGACGCTTAATGTTACATGCGGATCACTGAACCCCGTCTGCCAGAACTGTTGCACCGAAGAATAGGTCACACAGGATCACGTATCGTGGGGCATCACAGCCCCACAATACGTTATCACCGCAAAATGCTCCTGCCAGCTCGCTCATGGTCAGCGTGAGAAAAGCTCATAAAAACTTCTATTAAGGAGAAGCATGCTCGCTATCGCAGCCAGGGCCGAAAGGGTCGCAGCCCGCCTGGAGCCACCTTGAGGACCGCGCCTTCTCTGTCATTATTGGCACCTACCCTCTGCAGGGGGACCAGCCAGGAGTCGGGCGAATCACATACTGGATTTATGATTTATATTTAGTAAGAGATAAAATAATTTATAGATGAATTTTTATGTGCAAGGTTAATTATGAATAATTGTGAATGAAGCCGGTTCCTCTTATCTTCGTCGTCTTTGCTGCGGCGGCCGCCGAGCACGTGCACTCTCCTGGCGTTGTAGTCAGCAGTGGTGCCTCAAATCCCATATCCCCTTTCGGGAGAAAAAGAGCAAAAAAATTGCAATATAGTCCTCGAACTTCCATGGTGTCTTCTTCTTACACGTGTTTCTTCTAACGCGCTTAATATCAGATTTGGTGAAGTTTGCACACTGTCTGCTGCGGGGTGGCTCAGGAAAGTTCATATTTTCACGATCATCCTTTCTTTATGTTCCAGGATGCGATAGGTCACTTATAGCTAAAGCTGCAGCAGAATGTTGAGTAGATATATAGTTCATGACAGCAGAGATGCTTGGATCTCATTTTGCTGACAGTTGCAGGGTGAACAGGGGCTAACTTGGACGCGTTGTTGGTTCCACACGCGTCCATCTTCCACGAGGTATAGGCCGGTCCGCGCTTTTCAACGATTTTATATAGGGCGCAGAGGACCGTGAAGAAAGCTTCCCAGGAACGGCAGATAATTTAACCCACACATGAGCACGAACGACGAAGTTTGGTTCCTTAGCGCCATGTTTTTCGCCTCTATTAGACCTTGCTCGTTTGCGACTGTGCGTTCACTACCTTTCAATCACCCTTGACGGGCCTGTGCTGAGGCATTGGTCTAGTCTTGTGCGAGGTTGTCGTCCATGAAGAACAGCGGGCGCCGCTCTAACAGCCACGTGAGACGTACGGCGAGTAACCAAGAATGGCATGTTCTTATGTCACGGCGTTCAAACCAACTGTACGTGAGACTTCAATGCAATGTTTAATCTTTCCATCAAGCCATTAAGCTTGCGGGTAGTACACGGAAGAGTTGTATTGTGTAATTCCGCGTTTTGCTGAGAAAATTCTTCAAATTTTGCAAATGAAAACTGTGGCCTTGGTCGGATTCTAGACCACGTCGGTCTCTCTCTCGTACACAAAAAGATGTTAAACAATACGGGGGAAAGAACTGAGCCCTGACGGACATCCGAGGATTTGTTCGTGCTTCTAAGAAGAGAAGCCTTCTTGAAAACGATATTATATGCCACTTAGAAATGAAGTTCTTCTTCTATTGTTGAGAGGAGGCGCTGCGCTGCAAAACTCTGAATGCAGGTGGCGTAGATGGTTGAGGACGAATATCCAGCGTGCGAGGTGCCTCAGTTTTGGGATATTGCCACAGGGATGCTTTCAATGCCGTTTGCGATTATATTCAGGCAACCAAGCGTATACCTTTGTGATATTCAATAAAAAAATAATTATTTATTACTCCCCAGGGCAAAGTGAAGTAAACGCAGCTGAGTGGTAATCTTAACGCATCGAATCTCA